GAATTTGGCGATAATAATAATAAATGTCATGGCTACTTTGGCTTGAGTTCTGGCGCCTTTGAAATTCCACCCTACGGCATCTCTGGTAATAACTCTACCATGTCAACGATGGAGCACCCTACATCGTAGCTGAATTGGTCGCGTATAATTGAACACGTAGTTCTAATGTCGGGGTTTCTGATCCTACCGATGAAAGTGGGCATGTTTAGTCCGCTTTTGTTCTTTTATATTTAAGTCGAAATCATTGCTCTACGCTTTAAAGGGACACTAAAAAGAAACAATGAGTTGATTTAGATTAATAAATTGCACTCTGAGATAGAGAACTGCATGGGCCAGGGCTGGCCCAAAAGCCCGGGCCGAAGCGTTGGGCACGAGTCAGGCCCGGGACTCCTACACATCGGCATGATGGTGTGCGCACGCTGTTTGGCTTTGAACTTATTATTCAACGTATTTTGTCGACTCAAAAGCTGACGCCTTCTCTTTGGTCCATGTGAAGTAACCGTCGACATGGGCTGGCTTCTTTTTAACCTTCCACCTTTCTTTATCCCCCATAGCCGTCGTTTTTTTTATTTTCTGCCACACATCTCCATCTCTTCCATTGTGGTTGCCACGCGCTCCAGACCTTCAACTACAACCGGAGGTCACAAACACCGAGACTTCGCTCCCACGTTTGCACTGAACACTTCGGCCATGAGGGACTATAGGCAACCCACTCTCGCGCTTTGGGTGTCTGCGGGGAATCACACTCCGGACGCCTGACAAGCCTCTTCCGACCGGGAGCGCTAAAGAATCCACTGACTGATTCACTTCGGTGCTCTGCGAGATAGTTGTTTTGGAAGCCCTTAGTCCGGTCTTGTTTTGAGACGTAACACTTTCAAAGATCGAATGCTGTTACACGAAGACGACGATATAAGCAACTTCAGAGAACAACTAGGACAGTGGCTCGCTCGCGGTGGGTTTGGCTCGCTTTGACAGATCTTTGAAACTGTGGTGGTGGTGACTCGGCAAGAAGGGAGTCAAGGAACCTTCTTGTTTCGATCGTGAAAAGGTAATCTATGTCGGGGCCTGCGGAGAAGTCGACACGACAGCTTTAACTTATGTAAGGCTACCCAGCCTGATATATTCCTCCCACAAGCTACCGCGCGTTGTTCATTTCATTGAATTGTGCGATGAATCAAATTTGCAAAAGACTTGTCCTCTTTACTTAATAGCCCTAGCTCGTATGCAATTTATGTAAACTCATACTAAAAAGTGTTGCTATCAAGTTCTTTTTTATGGGGTAATATATTTCGTAGTCGTTCTTTGAAACGCAAACATAAGAGTGCGTGGTTAGCATTGAGTACGTGAGACAGACAGACAGCTATGATTCGAGTTGTAATTTATATTGCCTGCAATTATTTCGCAAAAATCTTACAAGCCTAATTAACCTAAGGTATACACAGTACCAGTGAAAGTTGAGACAAGTTCTCAAAACACTCTAGAATATATATTATTTACAGCAGGTATCTTCACAGTAATAGAAGATCAGACACTGCCTCGTTTATGCTTAAGGTATAATTTGCTGAAACAGGCCGGGACCGGCGCATGATTTACGGTATGGGCTTTATTTACAAGGTACTAGCCTAATATAAAAACACCGGGCCGGGCTGGGCGGGTCGGAGCATGGTGTTTTCGGGTCGGGCCGGGCCCGAGCCAGGAAAATGCAGTGCTTTGTTCTGAGAACTCTCATTTAATAAATTATATTGGCATAACTTCATTGTCAGCGGAGAAAATTAAGGTTGAAGTTTCTATTTTAACTTCGCGCCCTAATCTCCGCGTGCGACCTCAGACATTCCACAATGTACTTTTCGTATCATTTTGGCAACATTGCGGCGATGAAATTTTCTGAAACTTCGTATGCTAGGCCTATGGGACCCACAGAGTATAATGTACTGCAATTTTATGGATTAGAAGCAACGTAGGACCCAGTAGACGCCTTCAAAATTCTATGACGTCACAGTGTTTGGTACGGGAATCTCAAGGTGGCGTTTGCTACCGCAGTTTCTTTTCGCGCATTTTCTCGCTTACCAGGGGTCGTGTTGCGGTAAGAGTAGTGTTCTCGGGATTGGCAAATTGCGCTTTACTAATTCGCGAAAAAGCGTTTTGCTCTTTAGTTCCCCTTAAAAAAAGAAAAACAAAACAAGTGATGTCACCTTGTTTTCTGGTTTCATTAGTTGTGCCTAAAAAAAAAAAGAAAAAAGAGCCCCTCGTGCTATTTCACCTCTTTTGTACCCTTCATACGACGGTCACAAGTAAGTAAGGTCTTCGCAGTGCTTCCGGGAAATTTGATTGCAGGTATATCATAGAAGAGAACTTCCTGGCGCCAATGGAAAGGAAGAATGTGATAAAGGCGTTGCCACGTTTCTTTAAAAGTCATCCAGCATGTGTGGCCACTGAAACAAATGTCTGGATGTGCGCACAGTATTAAACGAGTACTGCCCGTCTATAGTTATTTACCGGTTAGCCATCGAACAAAAAAAACAAAAACAAAGACATATGGAACTGCAATTTCCTGTGAGAGCGACAAATAAAATGACTACAGTTCGGGGTTGGGGGTGTTAATATTGCTACAGGCGAGGTTATCCTGGCAGACCGTTGCTGCAATCGATCCGCCCGGACCGCTTGATGCAACTAGTTTAAAAGTAATGCCAAGTTCAGCGCGGGTTCGGGTTTAACGCCAACGAAACTTCATATGGCAGTTTCGTGACAACGGAGCCCTAGGCAGGGCCATTGCCAGGAGAGTTATCTTCTTTCGGGGAAGAGTTGAAGCTTAAACAGGCTTTAGCGTGTTTGGGCACTCTTTTGACCGGGAAAGGGGCGGGAGGGGGGTACGGTGGGTTGAGTGGCCGGTTACACGGGCGCCGTGGGGGAATGACGTGTTGAAGCTCCAGAGAAGCCGCGTATATACACGCTGCTCTCCATGACAGTGCTCCCAGCAACAGAACACTACGTGACATGACAGGGTGGGTGACCAGCTCCCTTTCTGGAGCCGGTGCATATGTAAATACCCCCCACCCCTACCTGTATTCTTTCTTTTTCTCCCAGTACTTTACTGCCTTCCTCTATCATCCCTTCAGGAGTCAGCTGTTCGAACAAGACAGTTACAAGCGTGATCAGAAGTGGAATATTTGACTGCCCTCGTTTCGTAGTACATATTTTCTCGAGTTCATAGTCGTTTATACTGCTACCAATCGAGTTGTTTGCAATACCGCGGGACCTGCAGCTCCACTTTTGTTGTTATAGCGTACACTTATATAGCGAATTATCGATTATAGTGAACGGAACATGAACTTTGGCTGTCCGCGCTTCATTTCAGTGACACACATTCTTTTTTTTTATTTTGGGTAACTTTCCTTTTGAGTTATCCTCGCTGCCTTTGTTCATGCCATATGTACAGGGTGTTTCAAGAAATCTGTCCAATATTCCTAAAAAATCACAGAAAGGAGGCATCTGCTTGCGGCGTTGCTTTTCCTGTGACAGAAGGCATCTTTAGATGCGTACAAACCTTAACATAGGCGCGCCTGTGGTTTCCTTAAAGGGGAGGGCAGGGCAAAAGTTCATCATAACCACCTTTCCACTAATAAAATGTTCAGAACCGACCTTGCGCCTCCTTTTCTCAGGGGGTACCGAAATATTCTAAGAGTAAAAAAATGAACAGCTTACCACGACAGTTATGAAGTAAGCATCTTGCATTACGCATACCTGACGCACGAATTCAGCCGGCGTACTTATGATGGGCATCAAAACGTTCACTAACAAGGAAAACATGACCGCTTTTGGGCGGGTTGTCCCATATATGCATGTGACATCGTAGAAGAACTCCCCCCTAAGATATCTTCAAATCCTGTTCGAAATCATTAACGCAGCAGCCAAGGGGTGCTTGTGCCACCATAGCTATCAAGCAATGAGGCGCTACTGTCTTCTGAGGCTCTCAACATTGTGCGCCTGCGGCACCACAAGTTGCGCTGCGCAGCAGCGTTCAAGCGCCCTTATATGGTCCCAAACGGAGTGTGTAGCAGTGGGGTGGAAAGATAAGTGATGGTGAGGGAGGAGGACGGGGACAGTATAGCTATGCAGAGTACATCATAACAAGGAGTGGGAAAAGAAAGTGATAGTAAGGAGTGACATGAGGGAGAGAAGGAAAGAGGGAGGGTACAGTATGGCGCAGCAATAGAAAGTTATAGGTTGGAGACATACAGGTGGTCAAACAGAGAGGAAGAGGCGGTGTGAGTGAAAAGTAACAGCAGCCCCACAAGAGATAGGGCAGAGTCGAGCGTGGCAGAAGGTAATGTACAGCTGTGCTGAGCACACATTGTATGACGTTAATCTTTATGACATCACCGTTTGCAACATTAAGTCAGTGAAGTTGGTCCTTCTGCTCTGCTGTGCATTAATGTTTACAACAATTAAGTTGAAGATGTGCAAAACATTTTTTTCTTACTTTCATTGCACCCGAAATGATACTCCTTATACCGCTAAACCAGTGGTTCTCAAATGCGGGTCCGCGGACCCCTTAGGGTCTGCGAAGCCATTGCTATGATCCGCGAAACCTTGACCCGCATTTTTCTTTAGGCGTGACTGTGCCACGTATTGATGAACTGTCCAAAAAGAAGTGATGTGGCATGTTTGTTTGATGTATTTGGCAGCAATAAAAGGCACCTGTTTCCCCTCCAGTTATGTTAATTTACCTACATACACCCCCTCCCTGCCCTCTGCTGCAAGGGGTCCCCCATCACTTGCACCAGTCCACAAGAGGTCCCCTATACATCCATGGTTGAGAACCCCTGCGCTAACCTGTCAACATTTGTAAATTTATATGGATGCAAAATCCCAGTTGCATGTCTCGATTCTCAGGCATGCACAGTTGCCTGGTCAACAAGTTTTGCTCATGAGCAGCCTTTGAAAATATTTTTCCAGCTATAGTGCAGCACTATTATTACAGTGAATATTTGGGACTCCAACAAATTGCATTGTAAACTGTCTACAGTGTACATACCTCCATGGTCGTGTCGACAATGCAGGCCAGTGGTCCATCCCTTTGGTTATAATCACAGGCTTCTCTGTAAGTAAATATGTATTCATAAATTGTTCTAAAGATGGGCATTCAATGCGACTCAAACGAAACTTCAAGGTCACCGAGTGAGGCTCCTGGCAGTCTACCTGCATAAAGAGAAAACGAACAGTGAGAACTGCTGGCACATATAGGAGGCACTGTAGCAGTAATAGCATCAATAAGAAAATAATAAATGTTTACCAACAAACGCAACATAACAGCTCCAAGTTGTGGCAACAGGTTCGCACAAGGCTTATCCTATAAGCACAATCAGGAAAAAAGGATCATCATACCGTATGGTGAAGTAGCAGCGCACTTTTGACAAGACCAAAGGGGACAAGAAAGATGCGACGCTCGCTACTCTTTCTCGTCCCCTTTATCGACATCAAAAGCCCACTACTTCATACGGTACTATGGTCAGTCATGAAGGAGTCCAGTTTTCAGTCCTAATGAGGGAAAGGATGAGATTTTACTCTACACTGCAATGCACAAGGGGCGCTACTACTGATTTTTTTGACTCTCTGACATGCTGCAGAAACGGCACCACATGCAAGTCGAACCCACTTATAATGAACTCGAAGTATATAGTTCATTGTATATAGACCCGCCCATAAAAACATCCACTCAGTGGTCAAACTGTTTTTTTTTCTGTGTATTTTCATTCAAAATGTGAACCACCAGAATGACACTTCCTGAGCATTAGTAACTCACTGACAATGTGTGACAGGGGCACTATAAGCCTTTTTGCATGTTAAACAACACCCGTTTGCTCCATAGTGAATTCTGCCAAATTCCCAATCAACTCTTGCCAATCCACTGTAGCACGGTACCACCACGTCGAACTAATCATCCCTGGCTGATTCCGTGCAGCATGTGGCTTACTCGGCTCTCATCGTCGCATGCCAGCTCACTTGCAGTCTAATGTAGGCGGGCATTTGTGCTTTCTTTGTGCATGCTTCACTCAGGATCGTTCTCGAGGGCCGTGAGTAGCCTGTTCGTTTAACAAACACACACACAAAGAATTTCACGAGCAACGCGCACAAGCGACCTCGCACGACGCAGTGCCAGCGAACTTGCGAATGGCAGCATGGCGCACTTGTACCGCCGTCACTCCGCTGAGCAGTTATCTGCAGATGACTGTGATAAGGTTGCCGGCGATGAGTCAAAATGGCCTGCTCATTGCCACCGGCCACGTCACCATCTCTCTTTTCTGGTGATTATCTGTTAAGGCACTTCTGCAACCTCGCACACTGATCAACCGATCTCTTCTGTTACCGAAAGGGGGAAAACTGTTTGTGGCGCATTGTGTCGTCGGAGAGTTGAGTGTCACAGTGAGTTTTCGCTTCTCGCACATATGTTCTTCTTGCGATTGAAGGCATTGTTTGTTGATCGTTGGCGGTCGTAGATGCGACGAACGGCGTCAGAAAAGTTGGCGTGCAAAGCTGATCGCAAGTCTTCATGCTGCCCTCCTATTTTTTTCTTTTTGTTTTTATTGCGATAACAATTATATAGGACAGTCTCGGCTGGGTTTTGCCGCCGCCACTGTCATTCACGGTATATGTGTACGTATCAATATACATGAACACTCAAGAAAAAAAGCTGCCCGCGCTCGGTGCCCGGCTCGTCGCGATGCGCCGACATGCGCTTATCTCTCACACATACTTTGCCCCTCAGTTGGGAGGAGGGGGAGTGGATGCTTGTGCGCATGCGCTTATCCTTTGGTAGGGAAAACCGTGTGCCTTCAGCTTTCACTGGAACGATTGCTTTAGTTGCCGGACCCACAAAAGTCACTTCGGTCTCTGCATAGGGCCTTTTTGCGAAAAGAGTGCGCTTTTCAAACACAGCGAAGTAACAGCTGGAAGACTTGTTTGCACTCATATCTGTACCTGTCATTACGTTTTGTGCATTGTTTTTGTTTAAAGAGTACATTAATTGTGATTGTTAGTTGGCTCTCGTCCTGTGTGTGTTGTTCTCGTGTGTCATTTGTGCATGAGGAGCGCGCTGCACGTTTCGATCTGCTTGCCGTTTTCAGCGTGACATCCCAAGTTGTTGCTGTCGCATTCATTGCTTCACCCTTGCAGCAAACCTGTGACTTTTTTTCTTTTTTACTCGCTTCCATTCTGCCAATGAAGAAACGTCTGGAAAGTGAGGAACCTAGCTCGCAACATCCGAAGTCTGCGTGCGGTGATCCTGTGGTCTACGATATCTTTGCCGCAAGTAAACAGCAGCGGGGTGCTCGCTCGCGTGTGCCCTGCTCGCATGTGCCCCTATCTAGTGCTTTAGAATGCCTGTGTTAACACTTTTTTTCGCTTTGTATGTGCCATATTTTAACGGCAACCGCATCCGAAGTATTCATTGTAAAAGTAGGAAGCAGTGAAAAATGTTCATTGTATGTGGGGTAGCATAGGAAAATCATAAGTGCACCAAAATATGGCCGTAATAACCGATAGATTGTTATATCTGGGATTGTTATAAGTGGGTTGGACTGTAGCGTTGACAAAAGTGGGTTTATTAATCGAAGATGTGGCACAGCATGACATTGGCAGATTGCAGGCTAAGGAGGGCTCTCCTCCAGCAAAACCAATTAAGTATATGCACCTGCAGCACTATCACCTAACCAAAAAAGAAAAAGAAAAAACAGATGCACAGTTTTGATTTTTCTTAAGGCTGAAGAAATGTCATACAGTGCTCCAAATAATTGCCAGTAACTTTTTAAGACATCAGAGATCATACTAGTACTCATAATTAGGTGGCATACACGCACATGAGTAACTTAACAAACTGTGCTGCGTTCCATGAATAGTGCCTATAGCCCCTTCCAAATCTTAAGATGCTTTTCCACAGACCGCTAGTGTACTGCAGCAAAGGTGGCTTAAGCGGAATTCTGCACTGGTTAGAACCAGGCCAAGAACTTTTCTAACTGCTACAGCTCCCCCACCCAACTTCCCCTTTTTCTTCATGATGGGTTTCGGCTTAGGGCACAACTTCTCAGTTCGCTCGCAAGGCACCTTTGACTAGATAAAGGAGAATTGGCACGCTCCTGATGGCCTAGCAAAGTCACCAGATATCTATCGCATGTACCATTGTTATGGCAACTAACGTGGTCGCTGGCAACGCCAGCGTTCCCAGCACGTCAAGTTTGTTCGTGCGCAGCAACAGCAGTATACACTTACAGCTTTAGTTCCTAACATGCCATAGCCACATTTGCTTACAAGGAAATTCATATTTCCCACAAAATGTTCCTGGCTATGGCAACTCATCTTTGTCTTAAAGTTGTGTCGTCCTGCCGATAGAGGTACGCTCTGGTCAGCGGATCTCTAGATGGTAGCGCGGCGTTGTTACTTCATCTGGTCAATCACATTTCACAAGTATGGTCTGCACGCCTGAATCCCTGAATTGATTGATGACACAAACAACAGTTGGCCAATGTGACCTCCATTTTTCACTGAAATTAGCACAACTGAGAAAATTTTGAGGCTGGTCAGGCATTTCGATGCAGCGTGATGCAATTTCGGCAAATTTCATAGTTTTGGCGCAGCTGTCGCACCCCTGCATATGCAACAATTGTAAAAGTGTGGGTGCCATTGTTCTGATACAGTATAAGTTGTGTTTATAATGACAAGAGTTTAAGTTACTCTCCGTACATTGAGTGACTACCTTGATTACTAGATGCAGATTCCACCTACAAATGAAGTAGCTTTGGTAAACAAAGTTAACAACAGCCCATCGTGGATTGTGAATCAGACTTTTTTCGAGTGACCGAGTACATGGCTCATGGAGCAAAAATTAAATTACTGGTATTTGCCACAAATGCTGCAGTCAACCCGCAGCCACTTTCGATGCAATTAAGGATGGGGACCAAGCAGTTCTGAAGACAAGTGGCTAATGCACACAGTGTCACATGTAACAGTAAAGAACAAACATGAGTAAAGAATCATGGCATTTCAGTCGTTCCCATATGGATCAAGCTGGTGACTATAGGTACAGTGTACTAGAAGGGGGCAATGAAATTAATGGAAGCCGCCGCACACCACCTCGAGTAATGCTCCGACAAGCAACAGTAGTGGCGGCACTGTTGTCACTTCGTACTCAAGCTCCACGAGAGCGTCTGCATTAGGCGCGCACATGTGTCATAGCCTACAAATGCGTTTAATTGCACTTTCTAAGCATATTTAATTCATTACTGAGCTTTAGAATTGGTAACTTAACGTCTGCTACGTGCCATAGTATGCGAGTGAATATTGCAGGCCTGCCAAAATTTGACCGACACATTCCCTGTTTGAGGAACCTGCCAACCCCCAAAAAAGCTAATAATTGAATTTCGCACAGATGCACCTATATCTGCACGCAAGTTGCTGTGTGGTTTGCAAGCAGTATTTTAAGGCCACGCTGCTCCATAAACAACTACAAGCGCGATACAAAGAGTGAATAAGAAACAAGCCAGTGACAAAATCCTACAATCCTTTTCTTGGCAGTCCCTAGGACATCAAGAACATTGACATCAACCTCAATATGCTTAATTGTTTCACAAGTAACCTGATTAGAAATAGCTATATTACAACATCAATATTATAGTGAAGGCTGAGTTCTAATTTACCAGTTTCTTCTTATTCTTCATCTTTTTTTTTTTTTTTTATGGCGAACGTTATCTTGTTTCAGCACCAGGCTTCCGTGGTTACTTTGCATCAGTTATGCAACCTCTGGGGGCTCAGAATACTACCAGGGAGCCAAGCCAAAGACACGTGTTCGCCGCCGAGGCAGGAACTTCATGCATCAGTGTTTACCTCAAGCATATGAAAACATGCATATGCAAATATAACCCTTCTGTTATTCTGCTTAAATTTGCTATAACCAGCTTTCTTTTTCTATGTACAGCTTACATTATGCTGTTTTTCTAATCTTATATCACTGCCATTGCAAAAAGACTTGGAAATCTTTTGTATTATAACTTCATTGTTTTATATGTAAAGTGTCAAAGCGAAGCTATTGTATGGGTGGTGGAGGCTCTAAGCTTTGAGACATTACGTATATATACAAATACGAACAGTAAGGTCCCACCAGTCCAGGGTTGCCACTGGTGGATACATTTCATCAAATTGGCGAATTGGAAAGGCGACCAAAAATTTTGCATGGCGACATAGCAAAATTTTGGCGATTTTTGACTTGGGTCTCGCATCTTAAAAATGAGTGGGCAACAACGTTTTTATTTTTCGTAGTTTTAGACCCACCAATAGAAGGTGCAGTTTATGCATAATTCAGTACATCTGTATCTCCTTAATTTGCCTAGATTCTGGCAATGGTGCATTGGTGCGTCTACCAGTAACCTCCCAGCAAAATTTAGGTCAGCGGACTGCTTCGCGCGCCACGAGGTGGTGGTGTTATATTGAGTTTTTGATGCTTTAAGAGCTTCGAGCTTATTTAAAGCTTCGCTTCTGAAGTGACTAGGTGGCGTTTAGGCAGCGTGTTCTGACCACAGCTCCAACTGTCTTGAATAGCTTGTCGGCTTCTTCACAGCTGTATTACTCTCTAACTTGGTACACAGAGTTTGAATATTTTATTCACGTACTTTTCAGGCCGCCCAAGAAGTTGGCTTCTTCAGGCAGACTTCAGAAACTGCACAGAAGCGAATGTGTAGCATAAGCACCTCATAATCGTATGGTGGTTTTGGGACATTAAACCCCAAAAAGTATTAATGTGTAGTGCAAGCCTTATCGCAGAGGAAGCGTGGTGTACACATTACTAGGGTTAACCAGTATATTTTTATTTATTTCCGTTGTTTTGTAAATAAGTTCAATTATCACGCAGATGATTCCACTGTAATGAAATGCTCTACACCTGCAGGAAGGCTACGCACGCTGTCCCTCTCTTGTAGCGACTGTTTCACTTTGTATTCACTACAACTAAAACGATTAGGAATATTATTTATTAAAATTCACGGACGCTGCTGGTACATGCATGTCCTTTACCAGTGCCCCCACAGTGAAGCGGCTGATGCGACTTGCATTGAAAAACATCAATATGATTTGGGGGTTGTTGGTGGTAATAAGCCCTTTTATTACAAGACAAGCCACACATATTTAGAGTGACGACTTTTCTAGCAAAATTTGAAAAACAAAAAAAGTGCCAACTTTTCGCCTGTCATTTTGGCAACCATGCCGGCTACGCTTGACTTCCGATAGTTTGAGCACTTGTAATGTCAGAAAGTCACATTTACACAGCGTATTTCCAAAGATACACACCATCCATGGTTTTGCCAGCAGTAAATGTTCAACCTCTTTTTGGCAGAATAATACTGTGTTTACTCGGGTAATGAACCTACATTCTTTTTTTTTTTCCAGAAAAGTTGACGTCAATTAAGGGGAGGGTCCATTACGTGGAAGAAAAAAAAGTCAAGAAAGTTATAACAGCAAAAATTTCACATGACGGTATTAAAAAAACTGTCCAACTACTGCTAGCTTTCAATTTAGTGGCAGGACTACAGAGCCTCTATTCGAGAAGTTCACTCTCCCCAAAAGAAAACTGTCCCTGTTTTGGCCCGCGAAATGCGCAACGTAGGTTTTTTGTAGCCCAAAGCTGTACATGTAGTTTCCACACAGCCAAGACACCTGCCGTGCGCAAGCAGAGGGCGAAAGGCTTATCCGCGACGCTCTTTCGCCCTCCGTTTGTGCACGACTGGTGTCCCGGCGCGTGCAGTGCGGCTATGCAGATAGCACATGCACAGGCCAACGTGCACAGATAGACGTTGAAAGTGACGTCCAGTCACTCGATTCCCATAATCCAGTGCATGCTTTACCAACCTTAAGCTTAAAACCAGCTATGTTGCTAGCGTACAGGCCGGTCATCAACATAAAAACGCAGCGTCGGATGGCGGCGCATGCACGTTGCCAGTGCAAGTTGCGCCGTCGGCGCGATTGCGCTTTTAATTTTGCTTGGTTCTTGCGCCGTTGTGCTTGCCTGGTGCTATAAACTGAAGGTTTCCTTTGCATTTGACAGATCGCACTCTGCTTCAAAAGGTGCAACTTTTGAATTTCGATCGACATAGCCCATGCTGACACTGATCACAACTAATTAACATGGTAGTTAAACTGTTTTGCCTTTATGGCATCATTATTTTGTGGTATAATGGCATGATTTAACATTCTTTTGATTATCAATGGCACTGGTTATCGCACCAAATTAAAATGCAGATACATTAAAAACAAATTTTTGTTTTCTTTAAGGACCAAGATGGGGGGGCGAGTTCATTATGCGAGTAAATGCGGTATATCAGCACACAGCTTTTTCAGCACAGCTAAATAACAATAAAGCAGCACAGTTACTCTGAATCAACTAGATGCCGAATCACCGCCAGAAGAAAGGATTAAGATAGAAAAAATTATAATAAGGGACGCCCTTTCTCTCTCCTCTGTCTCTTTCTCGTGTCAATCATTCTAGGTCTAGTTAATTTTAGGCCCAGCAACGTGTTCGGCTCATTTACACCAAGACTGTGAATCTCCACTGTTTCAACGAGCCCATTTTCAATGTTATATTTTACGTAGCTACCAGCAGTCGTTTAGGTTGCAAGAAATAATTTGCAGTGCACCTCTCAGGTATATATAAAGCAAGCATCCAATAAAAAGCTTTGAAGTTTCGTTCATAAAGGCTTACGACGGCAAGTCCCTGGCTTAATAATGACACAAAGGCAACGAAACCCATATCAGTAACAATACCGGATTAACCAGATGCTGCCAACACGCCCAGCAGTTCTTTTGCACAGCACAGCACACCTTCAATACTAAGCGACTGCAGCTCCGCCGCTACTGTGGACGCGGAAGGCACCAGGCGGCGAGGTACGTCCACACCTCTAGTACACTCTATGAGAATATGTGGCAATATGAACTACACGACTTCGTTTTTGTCAGATGTTAGCACGACTTTGATTCATTTGCATTGCATATTTGCAGTGCTTCCCCCTCACTGCATTCAAAAAATCAATTGAAGGGGAAGCTTTTTGTGTCATTAAATAATGCATGTGCTTCCAGGACGAATCAGAATAAACGATTTACCAAGTAAGCTAGGTTTCTTTGCGAATGTATGTTAAATAAAGCTTTCAAGTCAAGGTTGCGTTTCTTTCTTTGCTTATGTACACAGCACAACTACATTGAATTTCACTAACCAGGCAAGGGCCGCCCTCCTTGAAACTTTCATGAAATATTTTTGGCCCTAGGTGGGGTGCTTGCTTAGAATTTTATGATGATTCAACTAATATGCAAATGTTTACTGCAATATGAAACTGCGGCTCATAAAACCATGACCCTTCATGAAAATGTGTGAAATATTGCTATCACCATCAAATATTTGACTTTCAAGTGAAATCGCAAGATTTTGTAATCTCTTTACAATTGAGTACTACCTATATCCAGCTCAACTGTACAAATTAAGGAATGTGTTTGGGTTTTACAACCCAAAACCACAATATGACCATGACCTATGCCATATTGAAGAGCTCTAGAAATTTCTACCACAGGGTTCTTTAACATGCTCCTAAATGTAAGTACATGACCCTCTCACATTCCTCCGCTATTAAAGGAGTACTGACACAAAATTTTGTTGTTGAAATAGCCTGCGAGATCAATTCCCATAACAAGCATATACCATCTGCAAAACATAGACAGCAAACACTGCTTAAAAAGTATTTTATGTGAACTTCGAATTTTGCGTGCGCAATCAAGCACTACCCCCTCCATATTGACTTACAGTATTTTACGGAAATTTTGAAGTTTGTACACTCAATCGAGCTACCCCCCACAAAATTGACCCACGGTGACGCCCCCACTTTCCTCATGCCACCACTTTACAGTCAATACAAGTTGTGACGGCGTAATAACTGCCATTTTTCTTGCCAGATTTGAACCAGCGAACGCTGTGGCTGCTCACGAGTCAGCAGTAGCGGTGCACACGTTGAAGATTTTGTGTTTGACAACACTACTTACTGTCCAGTTTCCTACTCAAATTGACTTCCTTATTTGTACCGAGTGGAAATAAGTCACAGTTCTGTGTGCTGATGTGGTAAAGTGTTGCACACGCTGAATGGTGATAGTTGCACCCGGCAAATTGTTAATGCAATGGCGTTAAAGACCTCGTTTCGCAGAAATTCCGGCGTTGGTATCGGCGTTGTTGGTTGTGAGCGAAAAATCATCTTATCCATGACCGAAAAATCGAGAACGACGTAAATAAAATAAATAAATGATAAATAATCCTAGAGCACAGCAGGGACGAAACAAGGGTTGTTTGGGTCTAAGTGCAGATCGAACCAGGGTCGTTTGCGTGGCAAGCGAATGTTCTGCCACATGGCCCCGCCTCTGCTTGTGAAAACAGTGAAAAGAACTTCCTCTGCTTGAAAATACAGTGAAATCAGCTTTCATGCTTCACAAACATATGCGTCCTGTGTACATGCTTCACAATGCAACATGAAATATTGCAGTATTAATGTCTGATACAAGCGTCCATTGCCAACAGCTGTCAGAATATGTGGTTATCATGAGGGCTCCGTGGTTGAAAGCCGGTACCCCATTACGAAAGGCACACACGCTATTGTGCCTATTCCCTCAAGGCCACATAGTGGGTGCATAGCAAATCTGAAAAGGTTTCATGCACTAAGTGGTTGAAATACGCACTAGGACCAGGACGTTGGTATCGCATTAAACTCCTAAAGGCGAAGCTTTAGGGTCCCCTAATTTATTTTGGAGCTTGCTCGCACCGAAACTGAGATTAGTGGGCAATGAGGAGCCTATAATTATTTATATATCACACGTAGCAGCAAACAATGTGGTGTGTTATGACGAACAGGCCCCCAAACACATTGCGGCAAAAAATGTAAGGCCAATATATTTGAGTCAGTACCCCTTTAAAATGCAACAGCCACAGCCAGGATCTCATTCCGTGACTTTCGAGTCAGCAGTCAAGCACCATAAACACTAGACCCTCCCGGCGGCTGCAACTAGAAGAAAAATTGACTACCAAGTGTTAATTACCTTACAGAGTAGTTTACATTACAAAAGAATGTTTGATTGATTTTGTGGGGTTTAACGTCCCAAAACCACTATATGATTATGAGAGACGCCGTAGTGGAGGGCTCCGGAAATTTCGACCACCTGGGGTTCTTTAACGTGCACCCAAATCTGAGCACACGGGCCTACAACATTTCCGCCTCCATCGGAAATGCAGCCGCCGCAGCCGGGATTCGAACCCGTGACCTGCGGGTCAGCAGCCGAGTACCTTAGCCACTAGACCACCGCGGCGGGGCTACATTACAAAAGAAGCAGCAGCACAGGTAAGCCATGAGGAGGCAATAAAGGTACCCACCTTCTCAAGAAGTGCTGAAGGAATCAACTCTGGTAATTCCTTATGGACATTACTGGCCAGCTTTGCCAGTATATTGTCCATTACAGGAGCCCCCATTATAAGACCCATGTCACAGAAGTGCAGAATATCCTGAAAGTAATTTAAGTCACATCAACAGCTTCAAGTCTTTGTAAGACGGTTCATAATGTGGCAAGCAATATCCGAGGATACCTTATTTTTCATAGAAAAATTCTCTTAATTTAAAGGGACACTGAAGAGGAACAATGACTTTGTTTAAATTTATAAACTGTACTCTGGGAACTCTAATGCCATATGTTTCAAAGTTTATTACTAACGGAGGAAATCAAGATTGAAGTTTGATTTTTAAATTTCGTGCCTGAATCTTCGTGTGTGACACAAGAAATTTCAAAATGTATTTTCACTATGTTCATGGCATTGCCAAGACGAAATTTTCTGAACCTTCGCATGCTATGTCCATGGCAGCCACAGATTACAACATGCTTCATTGTTATCTCTTGGAATCTACGTAGGACCAAGTAGACAGCTTCAAAATTTCTTACATCACAGTGTTTGGTGTGGGAACCTCAAGGTGGCATTGCCGCCTGCATTTTCTTTTAGCACATTTTCTCGCTTACTAAGCATCATGTAGAGGTAAGAGTGGTGTTTTCCAGATGGTGAAATTGTACTTTAATAATGCGTGAAAAATTGTTTTGTTCTTAAGTGCCCCTTTAAAACAAAATATTGTATGTCATGCCATGCAAAAATAATGAGCTAGACGGAAACTTCAGCAGAAGCTTTACATTTGCTTTTCTCTATGTATATACTCTCATGTAGCAGTGCTGAACAATTAGACGCTCTTAAAACCATGACTTTTAAATTTAACTTCTTTATATACTTATGCCTAAAAAAAACAAGCTAATCCAAGCAAAAACTACTGTTTTCCGCCTGATGTTCAATACCATGCTAAATATCCCCACTCAAACTTGATGTAATAACTCTGCAGTTAATATGTCCTACTCTCAACTGCTCGCTGCTATAAGAGCATGACCGGTGATGTTTTTGATTATTTGATACAGAGCCCCTGCTAAAATGGTGAGTCAGCACTCAGACGGAACCAATCCAGAACTACCTGTTGTGAGTGAGATCATTCCATGTAGGACCATACTGCAAGTTCTCCACACACACTTTGTATGCACTGGTTCCAAAGATAGTGCCCACCTTACACTGTGCATGTTCCCACGGCAACGAAAGTTGCCATTTGAAAATTTACAACATAAGTACATAACATTACATCCCAATAAAAATTGGAATGGCATGTGCTTCTCATCTCATATCCAACCAAATCTATGCCTTGTATGAGAGTGATTCAGGAACGGGAAAGTTGATCCAAAATGACCTATGAAAAAGATTTGGTGCGGCCACGCACTAGTGGTGTGGAGGCTGGGGAAACTGTGGAACTGGTGGCCTTCCCCTCTACCTTGCCATTCAGTTTCCCAACCCTCGCTCCGCTACACAATATATTCTTCACCTTTTCCCCTCTTCCTGTCCCTCCTCATCTTCACTTCTCACTCCTTGATACAAACAAGGCACTGCAATGCTTTCCTCTCCCTCTCCTCCTCCTATCACATTATTCCTCCCCCTCACTTTCCTTTCCCACCCACTTGCTATACCATACTATACATGGCTATAGTACGGTTTACTCTCTCTTCTCATCTTCCCTTTGTTTTCCCACTACTTGCTATACTATAATATACAGTGTAGCCCACCTACCTATATTGTAACCGCTTATAGTGCAGGATCGGTTACAATGTGGTCTTTTTCGACTCCTGTTTACTATCCGATAGAACCCCATGTATATGCATACCACATATTGTGTAGTCCTCCCAAGATGGGAGACCAGTTATAATGGGTTTGGCGGAAAATCTTTGTGACAAAGGCGGTAGAGATTGCGCACCTGAAAGGAGGCGCACTGGCTGCGCCGCTGAGGAGCGAGCGACGAGGTCGTTATGGAGGGGACGTGGAGTGAACAAACAAAGGCCAGAGGGAAGAAAAAAAAAACCCCGACACGCACTGGCGCCAATGTAGCTACAGTGTACGCATCGCTAGCGTGGCTCTGGCCATGCATGGCTCAACAGTACACGTGCAATCCCGCCCTTATCACCTGCGCTTAACAGCTTCCTGTCAGGAAAAGAGTCGTCGTTATCGAGCTTGCTACAGATATCGTGTTTGCTACCTTGTCCGTAAATTTAAACTCTTACGGTTTTATGACGCGAGCTTGAGCGGTCTTATGCAAGCTTGCCGTGTTTTCGCTGTTGCTGATCTCCCTGCCGCGAACTTCGTATCATGCATGCTGTTCTTGGTTCGGTGCCTGAGTGCAATTTTTTCGACGGTGGATCTGCATGTCCTGGCTTCCTGTGAGAACATACCGAATGGCAAGCTAGGCCTAATCGGCATTGGACACGTTTCAGTAGCGGTTACGTGCTATTTATAAGTTGTGGTTTGGTACACGTACAACCAAACTCTTTGCGGCGGTTGCGCTTGACGGGAAGGAATACATATTGTTAATAAAAACGAGAGTGGCACGTGTAGCACTCAAATGGTGGTTTGGGATTCGATTGCAATGTCTTGAAATCGGGTGCCCACCTGTGAAATCGATTGATTGGCGTCTTTTAACACGTGATTGGACATAGTTTCGGTGCGATGCCCATAATCGAGTCGGCTTAAGAAGTAGTCTGCAAATTCACGCGATGATGCTTTTTTTTTTTTTGTTAGACCCCCGAAAATTTCTTGAAACTTGATATGTTGGATCTATGGCCCTTTCAGAGGACAATGCACTTTTTTTTTATTAAGAACTATATAGGAACTGCTGAGTATCATCAGAATATATGACGTCACAACGTTTGGTGCAGGCCTTTGAAGGCGGAAATTTTGACTTCACCACCCGTATTTTCTTTTGGTGCATTTTCTCACTTACAAAGTGTCTTCTAGAAGCAACCGAGAAGACACTTGCTCATATGAGAAAAAACATTTTCATCTTTCGTGGCCTTGAAAAGGGCTGGTAACACATTTTGAGCATAGTCAGAAAACAGTGCTGATCTGTCAAAGTTTCTATGAGCATGTGAGCCAAATATTGCACTGTATGCAGCAATTAATTTTTAATTTTGTATTAAAAGCAGCCAAAAATTGCTTGCTCTCTCATCCACAACAATGTCATCAACTGCTCAGCAGGCAGGAGAAAGCAGGCATGACAGGTACGTGCTCATTTCACAAACGGCACAACTGCTAACCATCTTGGAGGCTATCTGTCACACCGTGCCAGTGCCACGCGCAAGGTGCTACCAGGGAGCAGAAACTACCTATACCTCTCATGTATTCGCTCTTGGCAGTGCCTCTTTTAGCAGTGGCAGTAGCGGGGATCCTACAAACAGAAAATTTCTTTCATGACGTCACTGGTGGCTTCATGAAATAGAGGTAAAGAATAAAAAATCGAGAGGAGGATGGTTGCCACGAAAACCGTACTTTCCCACTCCACATGCAAGTGGAATGCGCTCATGCCTTCTTTCAGGTCCACTGGCCGCTTGGGTGATGCGGCCATTCGTAAAATTTAGTTAATCTTTTTTTTTGTTCGTGTTTTCTGAACAGGTGAAAATTAAGCTGACTGATTTCTCAGTAAGGCGAAACGCGAGATCGGCAAAAATAATAAAATGAACGTTTTTATTACACATCTTGTATAAAAAAACAGCCACACAGATAATGTGAAAGTTTCAATCTATAAAAGCTACTTTAACTTACAACTGATATACGGACATAATGAGCAAACGTTGAACCCAGAATATCCGAATGAATACAAAAATTATCAACAATCGCAAGTAAGACACGCCGTATTTGACTCAATCACGTTTGTTATGACGGTGTGCATAGTTTTCTTATGAAACTTGAGTACCAAGCGAGACTGAAGTTCAGAGGCACGGAGAGGCTTGAAGCGATCAGTAGTTTTTCGAGAAATAACGCCGCTGAAAACAGCGTTTCGGCAAGTTGACTTGTCTTCATCAGGGCAACAGCGTTACCTTCGCGAGGAAAAATTCACTTGTCAGAACGTTGGCTTCATCAACATTCTCTGTAATAATTTTTTTGAAGCATTTAGTCCATCACATGTACTTGAGTGACACTATTATAAGTAAAGACTCATAAATTTTGAAACCACGACTACAAGAAATTCATGAGCAGAAAGCAGCCTATAATTACTTGACATCATTTGAACTACACGCCGAAAGTAAAAGAAACTAAAACTATGTAGCCGAACTAACTTAAATTCAAGCGTTTCAATAAACGCATTTTCCCGACAGCAGCTGGGTTCCAGTCTTCACTAATTAGTAAAGTGACACTGCACTTCTCTCAGTCCAGTCAGGCTTGCAGAGAACTAGGTTTACTCATATGTACTCATACAAAATCACTATCTGCTCAAATAATGGGTCTAAATTCTTGTGCTCATCGCTGCCTTTAGGAAACGCTGAAAAACCTTTGCAGAACTAGAAATCCCCGAGTCAAGACAGCGCAGAGCTAAGAAAAACATGTTGCACGGTTAAGTGATCTTCAACAAATGCATGGTTGACTTGTTCGGCATAGCTCACTGCAGCTTCCGTTCTCTGCCCGCCACAACTTGATGCCTTCATCTTTCCCGTAGTTGGCACGCCAACCGAGTAAGATAACCGAGTGCAATCCTTCTAACATTGCTGAGCGATGGGTGAGATGGAGCAGAGGCAAGCGCTATGAACGCAAGTCAATCACTTCCTGCGTTTCGCCTGATTTAAAATTCACAAAATAAGGAATAAGAAAAGACATTTAAACAAAAGAAGTTCTCTACAGGGGTATCGAATTTTTTCTTTTATTTGTATAAATTTATGAAAGCCGATAAATGCGAACATTCACATCAACCTCACTCCGTTCAACTGGATCTTAGGATGCCCGGCAACTGCTACGAGCGTTCAAGTTTCTTGAAACCAAAACTAGCAACGAGTTTTCAGGACCTGGTGCTACCGCCTGCCGCCAGTGCCCATATGACAAAAATAGTCAAGAGAAAAAAAAGAATATTAGTAAGGTTTTAATTAATGACAAAATTTTTATGCAGC